ATCTCTTAGTCCGTCGCTTTTTTGGAGCAACGCTGTCTGTCGCTTTTTCTTTCGTCGTTTTTTAGCAGTTTTTTAGCAGTGTTTGTCCACTAAAATTTAAGCATGTGACTAAATGATTCCCACTGTATTAAATCACTAGGCCACAAGCCCACAACCCAGTCCTTTAAATGTTTTTAATAGTATATATTAATAATAAAACAAAATATAACTCATACATTGTTTTTGTTTTACAAGCATGAAAATATAATTATAATTTCGTACTTTATTATGAAATACTACAGAACATATAGTCTTATTAACCTCAAAGAACATATAGTGATTTGTGGTGACCAGCCCCTGTGGCATCACCTCAAGAAATAAAATACATGTTACGATTGCGCTAGATATACTTGGATCTACCCTTTAAAGAAGAAATCTGACTTTTTTCTATCTTTTTGAACTTTCAAAAATTAGTAGAAAATCAGTCGTCTACGAATATCAAAGTGTTTCAAAGTGACGGTGACAATGAATTTAATAGTTTGGATTTTGTGAACCACTTAGCTCAAAATGGCAAACAACAAATTTCTTGTCCACATACACCTGAACATAATGGAGTCGCCGAAAGAAAACATAGACATATTGTTGAAACCTTCATGACTTTGCTTTTTAATGCAAAAGTACCGTTGTTCTTATGGGTTGAAGCCTTTATGACCGTTGTCTTCCTAATTAATAGAATGACTACAAGTACATTGAATATGAAATCTTCGTTCTCAAAGCTACATGGACACTCACCTAATTATAATTCTCTGAAAGTTTTTGGGTGTCGATGCTTTTCATAACTTAAGGGACAAAATAAAAATAAATTCCAACCAAAAACGTTCCCTTGTGTGCTCATAGGCTACAATCTAATTCACAAGGGATACAAATGTTATCATCCTCATATAAGAACGGTTTTTATTTCGAGACATGTTATTTTGATGAATTGTATTTACCTTATGTGTCTACTAGTGTTGATCTCTCTGCAGAATCTTATGCTTCATACTTTACAACCTTTCAAGAAGTTTTGGATACAAATAATCGTCAATGTGAATATACATCTCCTTCCGTTGACTATGCAGAAGGTGCCTTACACCAGCTCTAACAACACCTCATGTATGCATGCCATCGATGGAACAACCTGCATCTTTATCTCAATGTGACCAACTTGCTAAATTAAATGATTCTGCGAACTCACAAATTCTCCTCATGGAAGCAGCTCTTCCATAATGCAAGCTAGCAACAACAATTCATCAGCGCAAGTTGGCAATAGCAACTCATCAAATCTTCACTCATCCAAAGTCCCAGTACCCTGTGAAATTTCCCTCTTTACCTTGTGTTGCACCTTTACCAGAATTTGATCCTATTGAGCCCATTGCCCCTACATCACCCGATATGCAAATAGAAAATACTCACCCCAGGTAAAACA